ATTTTGCATCAGGTTTCCAGCACATTGTAGTGAAACTTCCCTTTCTTAATGGGAAAAACAAAATAGTAGGTACATGAATATAAATCTGGAAAATGTGGGAAAATGTTCAAACATTTCAAAAATCACTCAAAATCTTATCTTCCAGAGGTAATAATGATTATCTTTCTTTGATGTATTTTTGTAATTTACTTTTAAATGTACATAGTATATTTTTTTATTCTTCCATAATTTGCTTTTCCTCCCACTTAATATATTGTAAACATTTGCATGCTATGATATTTTTTTTTAAAAAATCTTAATGCACAGGGTATAAATTCCAAACAAAGATCAACAATAGGGATGATAATAGGGATCTTTACCTTTTTCTGACTTTTACAGAAGTGCATATAATGTTTACTCATTAGATGTGATATGGCTGTTTGTTGAACTATCTTTCTATTCTTTTTTTTTAAGATTTTATTTATTTCTTTATTTGAGAGAGAGAGCACTCAAGAGAGGGGGTTGTGGCAGAGGGAGAAGCAGGCTCCCTGCTGAGCAAGGAGTAGGGGTTTGGGGCAGAGGGAGAAGCAGGCTCCCTGCTGAGCAAGGAGCCTGATCATGACCGGGGATCAAGGATCCTGGGATCATGGCCTGAGCTGAAGGCAGACACTTAATTGACTGAATCACCCAGGCGCCCCCATCCTCCTATTCTTACTTTACCAAGAATTTGTATGTTAATTATGTTAACTTTATGATATATTTATATATTAAACTCAGGAATGAACAGTGAATTTTACCAGATGTATTTTCAGCACCCAGTAAAATGTTCATATGATACTTGACCTGATATACAGAGTTCCTAGCACTAACCCAACCTTGTATTCTTGGAAGAAATCCTACACAGTCAAGGTATGTTATTTTGATGTACTATAATGTAGGGGGTGAAGGAAGTGGGCTCTAATTAGGGTTCAAGTATTGGATCCTTTACTTATTTATTTATATAACCATGGGCAAGTTGTTTTACTTCTCTGTATCTGTTTTCTCATTTAGATAAAATGGTCATTGTAATAGTACGTACCTCATAGGTTGTTGTAAGGATTAAATGAGCTGATAGAAAACATTTAGGACATTATCTGGTACATAATAAGCATTATATCAGTGCTTGTTATTCTATCACTTATCAGTATTTACTTTTTCAAGTCTAGTCATGAGGTTGGTCTGTAATTCTTTGTGCTCTTGTTGATAGGGTTTGATATCAGAATTAAACTAGTTTGCGAAATAAACCAGATGTCTCTATCAGTTTCTATGTAATGGAATACAAGCCCTTGCTTGTACTACTGAAATACAAGGTAATGATCACTTCTTTAAAATGTGAAGAAATTGGGGCGCCTGGGTGGTTCAGTCGTTAAGCGTCTGCCTTCGGCTCAGGTCATGATCCCAGGGTCCTGGGATCGAGCCCCACATCGGGCTCCCTGCTCCGTGGGAAGCCTGCTTCTCCCTCTCCCACTCTCCCTGCTTGTGTCCCCTCTCTCGCTGTGTCTCTCTGTTGAATAAGTAAAATTTTTTAAAAAATAAAATAAAATGTAAAGAAATTCACACATATAACCATATATTATGCTTTCTATCTCTTTCTTGGAAGAAATTCTTTGTCAACTTTTTCCATTTCTTTCATGGCTATTAAATTACTTGGTTTCTACTTAATATACCAATTGTATAGTAATTTGTATTTCTCTAGAAATTGTTCATTTTAACAACTTCATTTGTAACAGCATAGAATTATGCATAGTATTCTTACCAATTAAAAAATTTCTCCATGAAATGGGTTTTATAATCCCTTACTATGTCTTCATTTTAAGTATCTTTATCCTTATACAAAATCTTTATTATGTTCTTTCTTATGGTTTCCTTGTATTGATGTTGAAATTTATTTTACTTTTAGGTGAATGTTTATTTTCATTATTTTTGTTTAATAATTAAAGCTCTTAAAGTTATTAATGGACCTCCAACTATAGCTTTGGCTATATCCCATGAAGTTCAGAATGAGTGTTGTTATTATCATCTATACAGTTTTCATTTATTTGCCAAAAAAGTTACTTAAAAACATTGAATTTATAAGTGGATATGGCTTGACTTCACTTCTTATGTACCTGTATAATTTCGCCACTTTGGAATTTTAGATTTTCTTTTTAGTCTAATAGATCAATTATCATAAGTGATACAGGCAAAGAGCCTGAAGAGAAAATATATATAGACTTTGTAATATATGAACAAAGAGGATATTGTTAAATCAATCTTAATTATACTATTTATATATTATTTCCTTTTGTCTTTCTTACTTGATGAATCAGACAAGTGTTAAAGTTTCCCATTATTGTTATTTATTGGAGAATTTCACTAATATAAGTAATTTTTTTGCTTCATATATTTTGATGCCAATATTTTTAAATGTGTAATGGTTCTTGCCTATTATAATGTCATTGTAGATTGTACCTTTATTCAATATGAAATAGATCTCATTTCCCCATTTGGTGCATTTTTACTTCAGTTGTATTTTATCTAATAATACTGTGACTCCAGTTTTTTGTTCACATTTGCACAATATAATTTTGCTCATTTTTTAATTTTCCCATTTTAGTTACTGTATTAAGTTTGTGATTATTAACTCAATGCTATTTAGGTTAATATGGGACAAGAACATAACTAAGTGAAGTGGATCAAGGAGTAATAAATTAGAGACCACCACAAACAGTAGAGTGATGCCCTATCTTGGTAAGCCACTGGCTACTCAGGACTAACCAATTATTGCTACAATATGAAAATGTGTCCTGTTGTTTTAATTTTTAAACAAGTGTTAAAAATACGGATTTTTATCAAAATTTCTCAACTTTGAAACTCTTTGTAGCTTCTTCCTTCTAGGAAAATAACATCATACTCTTTGGGCTGGATAGGTACTAATTGGTAAGATTCGTTTGAGGTATTTTTCAACAGCATATAGCTGAATTTCATTATTGAAGAAATTTGCAGACTTATACTTAAACATAACTGGTAAGAGATAAATCTGGTCTTCTGCCATCTTGCTTTATATTGGATTTCATGCTTTGTTATTTCATTTCTTTATAATTTACTATATAAACCTTTATTTCACCCATTGTATATTAAGTAAATAAACACACTCTGTTTTAAAATATGTATATAATTTGTGTTTCTAAATATGACTTTTAGGTAAATGAGGAATTTATTATACTTTCATTTTTTACACCCATTTTATCTCTTTATATCCCAGTTTTTATTTATAAACAGAGTTAAACACCTGGTCTTATTAAAATATTCTCATGTTTCTCTTTCAGGATTTAGGATAATTTATTTCTATTTTTATTATTACATATACATATTGCATTATTTATCCTGGGGATGTTTTTACATTATATATTCTTCCTCCTAATTCTTTTAAAATAAACTACCTATTCACGTGTTCCTGATTTTTAATTCATCTCTCAGCTGGAATGTGTCTTTGAATTTTTTTCAAGAAGGAAGCTACAGGGTTATATCAATAATAATCTTCACAAACAAAAAGCAATGTAATTGAGAACTAAAATTAATATACTGCAAACATTTTCCACCTCAAAACTCTATTTTTTAAAAAAGATTCAGAGAGAGAGAGGGAGAGAGAGAGCGAGCACACAAGCAGGGGGAGTGGGAGAGGGAGAAGCAGGCTCCCCAAGCTGGATGCAGGGCTTGATCCCAGGACCCTGGGATCATGACCTGAGCTGAAGGCAGACGCTTAACTGCTTAACGGACTGAGCCACCTGGGCGCCCCCACCTCAAAACGCTTTAGATGTCAGTTTTTAAATGCCTTCTTACATTTAATGTAGAGAAGAAGTTACCTGGGTTTTGTGTTTTGTTACCTGTTTTGTTTATTTTTTTTTGCCATTATTCTTTCAGGCTTTTGTTTGAGTCAAAATGATGGAAGGTATTCACAAGGATATGTCTAAATGGTAATTTCTTTTCCATAATTTTGCCTGGTATACCCTGAATCCTTGATTTACAGATTTGGGTCTTCTTTTCAGTTCATAAAAATGAGGGAAGGAAAAAAAATAAATTTGTGAAGTTGAAGGCCCTCATACTCATGTTTGCTCCCAAAGCTTCAGAGAAATTTTGCTCCTATGACAGCATCACCTGGTCCATATTCCTCCACATTGTCCCTAAGAACATCAGGAAAATCATCCAGGAATCCTTCCACCATAAGATCAAAATCACAATGCCTTATTGATTCTGTCTTTGTAGCATCTCTGAGTACTTCCCTATATTCACATTCTTCCTACCCATTCTCAAAGTAGTTTTCCACCAAAGGGCTGTAATAGCCTTCTAATTACTTGCCCTGCATCTACCTACCATCTCTCTCTTTCTCCCTCTCTCTCTTTCTCTCTTTCTTTATATATACACACATACACACACATATAAACACCTTTGTTATTGTTCGTTTTTTGCTTATTGACTTAAGATCAAACTCTTTCCCTGGCAAAGAAGGATGTTCCAATTTCATATCCAAATCTCATTTTCTAGCTAAGTGGTATGACTCATTTCTCCCTGACCATATCTGTACACTCTGGTCTCAGTACCTTTGCTAATGTTCTGTTTTCTCGGGCTCCTTCTCCTGGTCTTACCTTTCAAAATACTACCTTACTTTCTAAGAACTATTCTTCTTCATAACATTTTTCCCAATTATAACTCCCTAAAGCATTTCATCCATCTTTAAAATTCCATGGTCCCTCCTTACCTTTGTTCTAGATTTTCACCATATTTTTCTTATCCCCATTGTTGGACTTTATCATGCTACATAAAGGATGGGGATTCTATCTCCCTCATCTTTGAATTATTTATAGTGTCTTGCACATAAAAAATGTTTGATGTTGAATGACTGCTTAGCACTGAATGACCCTTTTAGAAAATAAAACATGTCAATTCTGAATACCTGGAGGACATTAAATTTAGCATAGAAGATCTCATTCTAAAAGTATTACCTGAACTGATCCATTAAAAAGTGAAGAAATTCCTTTATTTCATCCATATGAGTGAAGCTAGGAAGGTGTCCTCCAAGAGCTTGGCAGAATCTCTCAGCTTCTTCCCAGTTCCTTTTTCTTACGATTCTTTCTATATGAAACAGCTTAACAAGACACAATGTTAATCTCTTTTCTGGCATAATCATAAAGTATTCATAATTTCAAAGTTTATTATGGTCAAATGTGTAGGTTTTGAAATTAAGTTTCTTATTTTAATTCAAATATAATTAACATACAGTGTTATATTAGTTTCAGGTGTACAATAGAGTGATTCAATAATTCAATACCTTACTCAGTGCTCATCATAAGTGTACTCGTTAATCCCCATCACCTATTTCACCCATCTCTCCACCCACTTCCCCTCAGTTTGTTTTCTATAGTTAAGAGTCTGTTTTTGGTTTCTCTTTTTTTTCTTTGTTCTTTTATTCTGTTTCTTAAATTCAAATGTGTAGGCTTCTGAAATGGATTCTCATACGTGTATTAATAACATGAAAATGTTTTTATTTTTACCTGTAATAAAAACAGGTGAAAAAACATATACTGTGACACAACAGGACCTGCTGAAAGTGTCAACTAAAAGGCCAGCACAGGGGCCAGCTACTGCTGTCAGATGGATGCCCTTCCTCAGCTAGGATGGGGAACTGCTTCAACAAGACACCATACATATTCTCCCACACTCCTAGGACCAGCAGGTGAGGCTATAAAGGATACATATGAATACTTTGGGAGTAGACTTCTGCAGAGAAACAACATAATTATGAACATAATACACTAAGACCTGTATAAGCGCAGGCCTATTTTCTGATGAAAATGAAGCGAAAGGCAGATTGCACTGGTGTGCTAACATTGACAGAGGGTGGCAAAACAAAACTTGCCACTTCAGCCTCTTTCTTTGGTTTGTGAGGATTAATTTTTTTCCCAAAAAAGGAAGAGGAGGAGATGATACAATGGTAGATTGAATTACTGATCCCAATTCTTCAGTTCCCTGTGATATAACTGTACATTCTTGCCATGGCTTCCTGGTGGGCGAAGTGTCCTTCTCTGTACCTTGATTTGGGGCCTGGCCATGTAGCTTGCTGTGATCAATGGCATATTAGTGGAGGTACAGTGAACAGAGGCCTGAAATGTGCTTACATGGTTAGGCTTTCCTCTCAGTCTCCAGCAATTGACCATAAGAAGAACAAGCCCCTGATAGCTACTGACCCTTCAGCCTGAGACCCGATCAAAAGGCAGCACACCCCAACTCATAGCCTGGAGCCCAGCATAGCTGACCCACAGTTGAAAGCAGAGCTCACCATTCAAGCCTAAACTAAAACAATCAATCCCTGTTTGACCCAGAGATCTGTGAACATGGGACTAAATATTTGTTGTTATAGCCACTGAGTTTTGGGATGGTATATAATCGTTTCTTTGGGGAACAGCTGACTGATAGAGGCCCCAAAATAATTTTTTTAAATTATAAGAATGATAGAATTCTTCATTTGACATAAGGAGTAGAGGGATATGAGAATAACAAGCAAAGTGTCAGCATGGCATGTAGCTTACTTAACTTCTCAGAACAAAAGAACACTAGAAAAGAGCCAGTTCTGGCTCTGGTCCTGCTCTTTTGGGTAGGACATGAGTTCATCTGGGGATGAGCTGTCTCATGACAAAGGTTCAATGGCGCCCCCAAACAGTTTGGTAGGTTACATATGTGCCTGGAGAGGAGCATAATTTCTACAAGCATATGGACTAGGATAGTAGAAAGATAACCCCATTAAGGAACTGAATGAGAATGTTACTTTACCTTATAACAAGAAAGACTTGAGGGGAAACTATGCCAGCCTTCAGGACAAGGGTCTTCAGGCTTAGGAGCTACTTCTTCAGGCTGAATGGGCCCACTTATTTTCTTGCAAACTGAGAGTGCTCTGAAGTTTCTGCAGTCTTTCACCTCCCACTTTCCAAGAGACTTTCCAGTAGCCATAGCCACACACCCGCCTGGAGAAGCTGGGGTTGAATCAGAAAGTTTAACTAAACATTACATTTGAAAATTAAAGTCCAAATACTTTCTAGTATCCTTGTCCTTTACTTGGGCCAAGGTCTGGAGAAAGAATATAAAAGATAACGGAAGAAAGAGATGTGTTGTTCATAATAATGATGATGATGATGATGATAATAAAGAGAAGTGTTTATTACCTGCCAGGTACTATTCTAACAGGATCAAATGAATCAGTCCTTACAACTGACCTCCAGAGTCGATTCTATTGTCATACTAAGGTACAGTGAGGATTAGTGACTTGTCCAAGGTCACATGTTAGTAAGTGGTTGATCCAGAACTAGAACCCAGGTGGTCTGCATCTGGAGCTGTACCCGAAACTACTAAGCTGCTCAGCATAGCCTAAGTGGTTCATATTAGCTTTTTTTATAGAAAGTCAAAATCCTATACAAAGCATTTGATTAGAAATCAGGGGATCTGGATTTTAGTAATTCAATAACTAGGTAACATTTGTCAAGTAGATCAACTTTCTGAGATTCTGTCTTCTCAACTCTAAAATCAGAAGGGACTTCTGAGGTCCTTTCTGGTTCAAAATGTTCTGATTCTATGGCTAATTATGGTCAATGCTTTGAGCTTGTTAAAGAAAGATGAACTAACTTTCAGATAAATAATACCTACAATATTGCCTCCTTAATTCTCACCCATTCGGAATAATAGAAATAAACACATTCAATTTTGGAGAAAGAAGCTAAGAGAAAAAAGCAGAGAGATGAAAGTGTAAAGCACTTCAAAATGAAGCTTCTAGATTCTGTCTGAGACTTACATGGAAAAGATAAACTTGCATTGATGGTTCCAGCTTTGTGCCATTAGAGGGTGGTTTGAGAACTGAGTATTTTTAGCTCCTTTTGGGGGGTTATTCCCAAGGATTTCATAAGGAAGACACAGTCACTGCTTCTATTTATGGTTCCATAGACAGACTCTCATCCTGAAGATCATCATTTCCCTCACATTTCAAAGCTAAGTGAAGACCATATCTGGGAGGTACACTGCATTTCACAAATCATCATCGTATTCTCCTACTTTAAAAGTAAGACACTCACCTGGCTCAAGAAAATTCCAGTTGGAAAATGTTACAGCTTGCTTTACTCCACCAACTCCTGTCCAGCTATACTCTCCATGTGAATCTATGTCTCTCAGGCCAGTCCAGAAGTATTTTCCTGGAGATTTAGTATACTTTTTAATCATATCATTCAGGTATTCTTGCTCAAATCTACAAAACAAGAGTTAAATTAGTAGGTGTTTTTATAATGATTGAATTACTATATAAATTGAAAATGCACCTTTCTCTTAGGAGTCTTATTTCGTAAAGCTAACCCAGAGTTAAAAGTTCATCAGTACATGTTTACTGATGGTCATACCTGCTAGTTATAGTCAGATTGCAGTTGGTTCCAAAAGGGACCTCATCCTTGTAAATCTTGTAACAGATTTCTCCATGTCTTTTCCAGCCCTAAATCCGAGGAGAAATATCACACTGTTCAGACTTAATGTCCTACCTTTAAGCATGATTCTGCTACACTGGTAACATCTCAAACTTAGAGAAATCAAGGACATGGACCGGTAATTCATACACATGATGAGGGTGGGATACAACTTCATAGATAACTCCTACAGGATTGTGAGCCTGTGTCAGACAGAAGGTGTGTCTTATTTCTCTTTGCCTCCAGGGCCTAGCTCCTCATAAGACTATAATGTTGTTGGTTGAACTATTTTTGGAGAGGAAAAAAATAAATGGGGGAAGTAAAGACATCAGCATTAAGGATTATAATCACATACATTTTTATAGAAATCATGAATAGGTAACTCTTTCCTATAACGTTTTTTCTTCTGTAAGAACGCCAATATGTAATGATTCACTGCCCTCTGATTTGCTCTAATGTAAATGAACAGAAGGTAGCCATTTCTTCTATTTTCCAAGTCTGAATTGTTTCAGTCTTACCTACCATCCTTAACCAAGAAGGTGTGATATTGCTTAGAAAACTTACGCAGGGACTTTACATACCTCATCTGGAGGACACATCTTGTCAGACGTTGTATCATTCATTTGTTCTCCCTTTTTCTTACATACATATTTAAGTTTCTCTTCACAGGACTGGACTTTCCACTGACCTAACTTTTTAAAAATAGAAAAAAAATTTTTTCCACAGAGAAATTATTTGCCATATATTTAGAGTTGAACTCTAACTTATTTTAAAATCAAGACAGTTTCTTCTCACAAAACTGTGAGCAAGGGGCAAGGGGAGGAAGAAGGGGAGGGAAAGGGAAAATGAATGACTATGTCTGGGAACATACTCCTAGAAAATGCTACCCGACAGTCCTGCAGGGTTGTGGCTCACAGTCTGTAATCTCAGCACCACCTCAGGATCATAGTGGAGATGAATTCCATTTTCTTAGAAGAGTAACAATAAAACCATCAAAGGACACTTAGTACAGAAGTTGAAAAAAGAAGAACTCAGCCTACACGCAGTAGACAGTGTTCAAGTCTTCTCGCACATGACATGGTCAAAGTTTGCCCATTGCTTAAAAACTTTCGGACATGTCAACCAACCATGCTATTTCAATCTCCTCATATATAACCTAATCATGGTAGTTAGAACAGCTACTCTAGGAATCAAAAGTTCCTTCCACTCTACTTTAGCTTAGACTTCAAAATTCTCTCTTAACATGACTTTTGCTTAAGTCACTCTGCTTTCTTCAAATTAAATTTCAACAAGTCAATTGTGATAAAGGTCAGTTTCAAACACTGGAATGCTGTCTAGGTATGTTATCAGTTTAGTCTTGCCTGTGGGATCTCATTTCTATCTTTGACCCTCTATCAAAGACATCTTAAATATCCTTTTAAATAGAGCACCAAATGTGACATCCTTCTAAATTCATCTATGACACCTTTCTAGATACATCTTTACTCTTGAAACACTCCTAAATACACATATCATTTATTACGTCCACTTAAGTCTCTCTAGAAGCTTGGGGGACACAAGCCTCCTAAATAATTAGAAGTCCCCAGGAAAGTGATACAAACAAAATATAAAGATACACATGTCTTTTCTCTCAACATGCAGCCTATTTTGGACTCTTGACTAAAGCATGTTCAATAAATAGTTAAGCATTCTACAGAAGAAAGCTGTTCTCTGAAAAAATTAGACCTAATTTTTAATTAATTAATTAATTTTTAAGTAATCTCTGTGCCCAATGTGGGGCTCGAACTCACAACCTGGAGATCAAGAGTTGCATGCTCCACTGACTAAGCCAGTCAGGCGCCCCTGGACCTAATTTTTAAATAAAAATATTTTTTCACTTCTCAAAGTAAGATTAATATAAAAATCTGAACATGAATTCAGAAGATGGGTTTTTTCCCGTAAGTTGTAGTTATATGTTAAATATCCTGATGGTCCAGAGAGAAAGCAGCTTATTAGAACCAATCTGGCACAAGAATTGAGTTCTAACGGGATTTTCTTCATGTGTTTCAGACCAAAGCAGATACTCTCACACAGGAAGTGGATTGCTTACTTAGTCATTGTTTTATTTACATCTTTTTTTCCAGTAGCTTCCAGAAAGACAATCTACAGGGCTCTTACCTTTTATTTTCTTTCCAGGCTTAAACACAAATATCCCAACCAAAATCATCTTAATATTATTTGGTATACAATAAGAATATAAATAAGCCACAGGAAGTTTCCTACCTTTCCTAAATAGGAAACGCAGTTGGGAGTCTTATTGTAGGGAACATTTGGCTCATTCTTATTCCAATATGTTAGAGTAACTTCAGTACCATCAGACCACTGAAATAAACTTGGTACATTTTTGTTCTTAAGACCTATCCATATTTCTTCTTTGGCATCTAAAAGAAAAATATTTTTTTATTTGGTTTTACTCAATTACATACTTCAATATGTACATTTTTACTGATTTTACATTCTGATAATGGGGTTTTAGGAGCCTCCATGATATTTGTAATTAATCTATGAAAATATTGAAAATTTAGGCAGGCCAGAAGTCAAGGGCTTTTCAGGGTACTTATGCAGTCAGAGTACACAGTGGAAAAGTCACACTGTGATCTGTAGGTTAGGTGTTTCTGCTATCTGATTTAGATAAACCTTGCTTTATGGGGTATACAGGTTTCCTCTGCTATCCGAAAGCTCTTTCTGCCACTTCACTTTTACTGCCTATTTTCACTAAGTGAAAGAAATCTGAGGTGGATTTTTGCTTTTTACAAAATGGTGTTTGCTTCTTTGTTTTTATGCCATTTTGGTTTATGAAAGGTTTCATAAGAACAGTCTCCTTTTGGACAGCAGGGGAAAACTGCAATGAAATTCTACAAATACAATCATAGATACTCCAGTTAGAATAGGATTGATGTCCATCCTTACCCTGGGATGATGATGCTGCCTTCCCAGGGGAGACAATTAACACCATGCTGACACAGAATAGGTGTCTATTATTAGCTATTACTATTAGTGAATCCTAGGAGGAGGATGTAATACAGCCTGTCTAGTGTATTTTTGTTCTTCAGTCTTTAGCTTTTAAATAATTACAAAAGTGAAATAATTGTGAAATAATCATCACTTAAGCATCTGGAGCAACTTAAATAGCATTTAGCTTATGAGAAGGGGGAAATTGTTCAATCACTGGCTATACTGTCAAATTGGCAGCTATTAGCTACATGTAGCTATTTGTTTTTGTTTGTTTGTTTGTTTGTTTTTAAAGATTTTATTTATTTATTTGACAGAGAGATAGAGAGCACAAGTAGGCAGAGCGGCAGGCAGAGGGAGAGGGAGAAGCAGGCTCTCTGCTGAGCAGGGAGCCGGATGTGGTCCTCGATCCCAGGACGCCGGGATCATGACCTGAGCCGAAGGCAGCCGCTTAACCGACTGAGCCACCCAGGCGCCCCAACATGTGGCTATTTGTAAATTAAATTAAAATTAAATAAAAGTAAAAATCAGTTTCTCAGTTACATTGCAAGTGTTCACAAGCCACAAATGGCTGGTGGCAGCTGTACTGGACAGCACAGATTAGAGAACAGTTCCATCATCACAGAAAATGCTATTGGACAGTGCTGATCTGTAAGGATCAAATTGTAAGCTTTCATTCCCACCAAGAGTCTAAAAATAGGGGTACTTTAGAATGTTTTAAACCGATCAAATAGGATATTTTAAAAACTTACCCCCATTATGGAGTTTTGTGACAACCACCTCCACATCTGCTAAAGAATGAATGCTGATGAGATCGCCGCTCAAGGCTTTGCATTTCGTATGTGCCTTATCCCAGGAATCACTTTCATTTACCAGCAGATAGCAAAACCCATTATTTGACAGCCAGCCTGCATCACAGTGTGTATCTAAATATGTCCAAATATCTGCAGGAAAAGCAGCTATTTATATTCCAGTAAAGATACATCTATTTTGAATCAATAACATTGCAAATTCTTCCTTCTTAAATCATCAAGATTCTGGAAAACTGGGGAATGGGATGTCAAATAGCACAGGGACATGAATTTATGTGTTGCTTCATTCTACATAGCATCATAAGAATGACTGCAGGGGTAAAGATAATGATATGACTGTAATGTGATACAAATGTGCTACATGATTAGGCTCTGACTATTTGAGGAGGGACTGCCCTTAGTCCTAACAGACAGGAGAATTGTGTGGGGTAAGCCAGTTGCTGACCAATCTTCCTTGGTATGGGGATTTGTTAGGTTCCCCTCCAATCTCTGACTTTGAGAGGTTATGAAGTCCAGCCTCCTATCATGTATGGTCAGATTAGCAGGGGATGTGCATTCATGCCTACCATTGGACAAAGGACAGAGATTTAAGGAATAGAGTAAAACATTTATAAACTCCACATGAAAGAGAAGATAGCAATTCAAGGGAAAGGGCACAGGACCTCTCTGGACCTCTTCTTTCCTTCCCGCCACTAGACTTACGTCCTCATGCAATTAGTGATTCTTTGTTTTGACCACGTTAAAACTCACTCAGATGATGGTCAAGAAAGACTGGAGAAAAAGACTGAGGTATAAAACCGCACAAAATACTTCTATCCTTGTTAATAGAATTAGAAATTAAGTCAATTACTCAGACTTCATGGATTCTAAACTGTTTGGAATGTCTGTTGTATGAAAACACAGCATCTTAAAAATGTGGACAGTTTATTCTTCATTTAAAGATAAAATTCAGGTCCAGTTAGCTTCTCACACTTGCGAGATAACTCAATTTTAAGTTTCTGAGAGAGCACTTGCTGCTATTATTATTATTATTATTATTTTATTTTACAATTATGATAAAGGAACAGAGGAAAAAATACCCATAATTGAACTTAGAACAAACATTTTCCTATTCTAGTCTTTGTCTCTGTGAATACATATTTTTACAAGATTAAAATGATAAGTAGGCATATCATTTTGCTCTGCTCTTGTATTTTCCTGTTGGCACAGTTATTTTAATAAATGCATATTACTCGATCATGTGGAAACATCATGATTTACTTAATAATTGCTACTACAGCATATTTATTTGATCTATCATCAGTCACCCTGGTTTATTTTCATCTGTGCTGTCTTTTCTATTATGCTTTTTGTTGTGTGGACTAAATTTGGTTTGAATCAACTTGGAAGATGAATGTTCATCTTCCCCCTATATTTTAATAAAACACCTCCTGACAATCTTTATTCTATATATTTATTTTTTAGCCTTAAAAAATAGCTTTATGCTCCTATGTGGATAAGAAATTTTATTCCCTTCCCCCAACATTCTTTAAACAAGACATTTTAAAACCTCCTTTTTTTCCCTCCCAGTTTTGAGTAATAGTTTTTCTTATTCAGGAGGATTTAATCAAATACCAGCTATGTGGTGGGGCTCGTGCAAGACAGTAAGGACACTCTTCTTATTCTTTCAAAGGCTTCTGAAGTTTCTCTGCACCTCAGAAACTTCAACTGTTCCATGTTTCTCTTATCCCTGAAATCCCTTGAAAAACAAAACAAAACCCTCCTTGTACACATTTTGTCCTTCTGCACCTCCCCTTTTCTACCTGATTTATCAACACAACAACCTAAAGAAGCAGCCTGGCAAAGAAGGACACAGCAGAGGTGGGCATCATGGGGCAGGAATTGGAAACCCTAGAAGAGTTCCCTCATCCATTCCTTTTCTACTTCTTACAGGGGCAGGTCATACATAAAACCTGAGTGTGCATCAACATCTCCAGGAAGGCTTCTTAAAACACAGATTTTTGGGGCCCGCAGAACTTTTGATTCAGTAAGTCTGGGGTGGGTCCTAAGAATTTGTATTTCAAACAGGTACAGGTGATACTGATACTCTTGGTCTAGGAACCATACTCTGAGCACCACTGTTCCAAAGAAAAAAGAGCCACCTGTGAACAGAAATGTATTTCTTACATAGAATACCTCTGCCTTCTTTTATATATATATATATAAAATATATATATATAATATATATATACAAAAAATATATATATATATATACTTTTATATATATATATATATATATATATATACCAAACCAAAGCTTTACACATATAAAGTTAATATCCAACCACAGGGTCTAAATGAAGTAGTTTTTGGCATTGGCAGTAACAGGTGAAGGAAAGGTAGAATTAGATATCTGAAATGGATTTACTTGACTTCACAAAACTATAATTTGAAGACCTACTTGCACAAGGAAATGAAAAAGATACCTGTTAACTCCACTGTGTTATTTAATGGTTTCTTGCAGACATAGGGCAATTGAGCTTCACAGGAAAAACTGTGCCATAGACCAGACATGGCGTCCATTCTTGCACAGCTGGATCCGCCTATTATCATAGGTGCACTAGGCATATCTTAAACAGTAGAATTTTCAAAGAATTAGAAAGAGAAGGTTAGGCCCAGAGTGGTGGTTAGAAAAAATAATTTGTATTCCTAATTTTCTGTTTTTATTGAAACTCATAAAATAGTTAAACCTTCTACTAAATTGAGATGTATAAGCTTCAATGGACACCCATGTGCTTAAATATGTCTTCCTTCTAAAATACAGGATCCAGGGCCAAATACTATGACACAGTATAGTTAACTTAAAAAACAAAACCAAAAATCAAAAACAAACCTCTGCCCCCAATCAATTTCCATATCATACTCTGCAGACAGTAGCTCTTATTCTTCTACTCTATACAATAAATATTCTAATTTATGATTCTGTAATGCCCTTAAGACCTTGAATTAAAAGTTAAATTATCTTTAAAGATTTTATTTACTGAGATAATAGAGAATTTATTCACTAATAATAAAGTTTCATTAAACTAAAATGACCTATTGGTATTTTATTGCACTTAACCCATTTTTCTTTTATGTGTACAGAATACTTTCATACTGAAGCTAGTGTTAACTTTTAGGTTCTACATTTGTCAGAAGCCCAAGATTTTATTTTTTTTTTAAAAGGTATCTAAACTTCTTTTGGGGAGAAAAATCTTTTGGCTAAGTAGGATTTTGTTTGTTTTATTCGCTATAAAATTTTCTTTAAGGTACTCATCTGTGTAATAAAATACAGCCATTATGTTGTTAGTACTTGAGCACTACCGTACGAGACCCCAAGAGTTTTAAAATGAGAACATATTTCTGTATGGATTTGAGCTGCAGATGAAACAACACAGGTTAGTCATAGACACGTCAAGTCGCCTGAGGGACACAGAACAGCTTCTAGGCCATGTGATGGGGTTTATTCTGCTGTTACTTAAAAATGTAGGTTGCTGTAAAGGTTAGAGACAAATGCTCAGTTATCCATGATATGGTTCAACTTGGCTATAATGGTATCACAGTAAAGAAGGAATTAGGGGAAAAAATTCTTTGGAGAAGTAACCATAACAACAGTTGTCAAGATTTGAAATTTTTATAAGCTGTCAGTGAGTGGGATGCTTTTGTTTATTTACTTTTTTGAAGCTTTTGCTCTGTGCATAGTAGGTGGAGGAGGGAGCAGTTACCTGGGTCCCAGTTGAGAAAGTTTAATGGCTTGTGGTCTGACCATTCCCAGCCTCTAGCAGAGTATAGCTGATTTAAGCCAATCCAGAAAATTCTTGGAATGCCTTCTTTTTCTGTAAGAATCATATAATTTTAACAAGTGACAAAATTACCTAAATTATTATCTAAGTCAGACTTAAGTTTCTACTAATAGCAAAAATATCTGAAGGCCTTGATTGATTGTAAGTCAGGAATCTATCCAGTTTCATAAAAATACTTGTCTTATGAGACTGTAATGATGATTAAATTATTTAATTTACCTGGAGATACTAGGGTTTTACTCATAGTTTGAATTTACCAAATATTTATATTTATTATAAAACAGTGTGATAGGATTTATCTGAATTAGTCAATAGGTATTTGTTTTATATATAGAAAAAATGCTTAGAGTTTTGTGCAAAAGGGAAAAAAACAACCCATGAGACCCACCTCTTCCTTTAAAGAACTTACTAGTCTTATAAAAAGTAAATGCACATACATGCAGGATAAACTTGTTTTCAAGTCAGACTGATTGTGTTCAAATTTTGGCTCTGCTAATTACTTGTGGGTGACCTTGAACAAGTTACATTTCCTCTCTGATCCTTACATTCCTCATCTGCCAAGTGAGCATAATAAAAATACCTATACCTCATAGCGTTGTTATATGGTATTAAATAAGATAATGTCTGAAAAGCATTTAGTCCTCAGTCTGAAACATCATTGTCAAATCATCAGAGACTCAATAACTTGAGTTTCTTGATTTTTAAACAAGATTTATTTATTTATTTTAGAGAGAGAAAGCAAGAGTGGGGGGAGGGGTAGAAGGAGGGTGGAGCCTGATGTGGGGCTCGAGCCCACAACCCTAAGATCACAACCTGAGTCAAAATCAAGAGTTGATCACTCAACCAACTGAGCCACCCAGGTGCCCAGGGTTTCTTAACTTTTAAAAAATAAAATAAAAACTTTCTGTTTATAAAGTTTCTATTAAAAAATGTGCAATACTCTGATGGAAAAAGATAGGAATGTAGTGATCCAAAGGGGTACGTGCACCCCAATGTTTATAGCAGCAATGTCCACAAAAGCCAAACTATGGAAGCCAAGATGTCCATCAACAGATGAATGGATAAAGAAAATGTGGTCTATATATACAATGGAATATTATGCAGCCATCAAAAGGAATGAAATCTTGCCATTTGCAACGATGTGGATGGAACTGGAGGGTATTGTGCTAAGCGAAATAAGTCAATCAGAGAAAGACATGTATCATATGATCTCACTGCTTTGAGGAATTCTTAATCTCAGGAAACAAACTGAGGGTTGCTGGAGTGGTGGGGCGTGGGAGGGATGGGGTGCCTGGGTGATAGACATTGGGGAGGGTATGTGCTACGGTGAGCGCTGTGAAGTGTGCAAGACTGTTGAATCACAGACCTGTACCTCTGAAACAAATAATACATTATATGTTAAAAGAAGAAGAAGATAGTAGGAAGGGAGAAATGAAGGGGGCGAATTAGAGGGGGAGACGAACCACGAGAGACTATGGACTCTGAGAAACAAATGGAGGGTTCTAGGGAGGGTGGGGGGATGGGTTAGCCTGGTGATGGGTATTAAAGAGGGCATGTACGGAATGGAGCACTGGGTGTTATACGCAAGCAATAAATCATGGAACACTACATCAAAAACTAATGATGTAATGTATGGTGATTAATATAACATAATAAAAAAAAAGAATTAATCCCCCCAAAAAAGATATACAATTTTACTGAATTCATAAAAGATGTCACAAATAAGTAGAAAGGCATACCATTTTCATGGATGAGAAGACTTAATAATGTAGTGACGCAGTACCTCTTTAATTAATCTATAATTCAATGCAATTCCAAAGTCCCAATAAAGTTTTTCATTGAGATTAATAAGGTGATCCTTAAATTCATAGAAAAGATTAAGTGATTAAAAAAAAGCCAATGCAATTCAAGAGAAAATATGAGAGGACTTGCTCATCCATATATACGATGCAGCTGGCATAATTAAAACAGTGTGGAATAGACACACAGCAGACAAGCAGACCAAAGGAATAGGATGGAGAGCCTAGAAATAACCCACATGTAATAGGGGAGTTTATATTTATGAGAGGTGGCATAATAAATCTGAGGGAAAAATGTGAAATAAATAGTACTTGGTCAGCTGACATCCATGCAGAGAAAGATAAATTAGATTCCCACTTCTAGAAATTTTATTCCAGATGGATTATGGATATAAATATGAAAAGCAAAATTATAAACTTTTGGAAGAAAAATGAGAGGATATGTTTATCATATTAGGGCTAAGAAAGAATTTGCTAAGTAATATAAATAAGCACAAAACATTAAGGAAAAGATTGACTGACCAAATTAAAACTAACATATTTTTAAATGATAAGAAGCAACAAATGTAAAAAGACCAAAGACTAGGAAAATATATTTGTAATACTACAAGAAAAGATAAGTATATGTAAAGAACTATAATAGATCAATAAGGAAAAGCCAAACAACTCAACAGAAAATAGGCAAGGGATATCAACCGGCAGATTATAAGCTGAAAACCTGAATGCCTAATAAACAAGAGACACAAAACCACATGAATTATCAGTAAAATATAAAAGAAAAATGAAATACCATTTCACATTCATCACTTTGGCCAACAAAGTCTGATAACACCAGGTGCTAATGGAGGTGTAAATGAATGCAGCCCCTTTGGAAAGCAATTCAGAATTTTTGGGTAGAGGTGAAGAGATGTGCACCCCATGACTCAGCAATTCCTACTCTAGAGAAACTCTCATACATGTCTGCCCCATGAGGCACATATGGGGATGTTCCTTGCAATAGGAAAAGCTGAAAATAGCCTGTTTCTCAATAGGAGAATGGATAAGTTGTGGTTTATTCATACAATGCAATACTTTACAGCAGCAGATGACAATGGTAAACTTACATATGGGCAAATAAGCATTTGTATCATTTAAAAACAGAACAATAGTATAATGAAAACATATATAGTACTTAGACATATATATGTTGTAAAAGTACTCAAAGAATGGTTATTTTGAGAGATGGACATGGAGCTTTAACTCTGTTAATATTTTATTTTGGGGCGACTGGAAGGCTCAGTGGGTTAAGCATCTGCCTTTGGCTCAGGTCATGATCCCAGGGTCCTGGGATCGAGCCCCGCATCAGGCTCCCTGCTCCACGGGAATCCTGCTTCTCCCTCTTCCACTCCCCCTGCTTGTGTTCCCTCTCTCGCTGGGTCTCTCTCTGTCAAATAAATAAATAAAATCTTAAAACAAAAACAAAATCATTATATTTCTTTAAAGGGAGGGAAGCAGGGAATCAATCAATGCAAAGCAATATGACAAAATGTTAAGTGTATAAAAAGTGTGTAAAGTCAGGGTGGTGGTTACACAGGTTTCTTTCAGGTTATTTTCTATTTCTGTATATATGTTTTCATAATTAAAAATTTAAGAATTCCCACCATCACCACACAAACAAAATAAAACAAAATCCCATCCACTCAATGTGTCCCTTGATTAAATCCACTTTAAGATTTTCTTAGTCCTCTCCTCGCCTCTGAGAATGGCACTCCTCTACTCAACACAAGGACCTTTCCCTGAGGCCTCTGGTATGACTCAGCCATCTTCGTCACCTTCCTTAATTTCTCTACTTTTCAATGTTCAAAGAGTTTAATGTTCACCTTTTAAGAAATCTTGTCAGTTAGGCTTAGGGTAGCAGTTTAATCTCACTACCTCACTCCATTTTCTGAACATTACCCTCTTTTCAGTCTCAAACATGAAATGCATTTTCAATGGATAGAATAGGATTATATTCATACCTTTCTGCCTGTGGGCTTCAGTGTTGACATTTAAGAAAAGATAGAAAAATATATATACAAAACAACATACCTGGATATGAAAATAGAGGTAGACAGACGGCATCTTTACAATCCCAGCAATTTGCTCTACCACATGCAAACTTACCTTTAAGATAAGTTAATTCAGCAGCATTGCTGATGCTCAGTAAGTCAGCTCCTTGATTCTGACATGAAACATAAGCTTCCTTCCAAGAAAGAGCTGCCTGAGTATTAAATTGGTAGCAACTTCCAGTCTGCTCATTCTTTTCCCAGTTATCTTCACAGCCATTTTCTGTTGATAAAAAGATATATTAGTGATCATAAAGTAAGGGCATAATGTTTTATATTACTAACAATGCTTACCAATATTGCAATTCATTTTCCATACTCTTAGGATACACTAAAATTGAAGTTTATTGTTCGACTAGACTATATTTTGATTCTTTGGTTACACAAAGAAATTGAAGTCATGGGAACTAAATGACTTTGGCTGATTAAAGCTTCAACTCTCCTATTCTCTACTCTCCCTTTATCCTCTATCAATTATAATGCCATATTTTAGCCCATGCCTGCCCTCTGCTGAAATGCAGGAGTCTTCAAATGTGTTCACATTGTCAAACTCCTGAGCTGATGGAAAACAAGCTCACTTGAAGATGGTGGCGGACTGCAGAGGAGTTTGCCTACAGCCTGCAGTGAAACCACTGTGTGTATGTGTGTGTGTGTGTGTGTGTGTGTGCGTGTGTGCAGACATGCTGCTTCAACACCAAGATTTAGAACCCAAGTGACTACCTTATTTGAAAAACTCAATCTAAATTTATCCTTAATGTTTTAACAGATGATTTAATATACGACACATAATATTATATAACCAGTATTGCAGATGTCTATGTAGACATACGTGTGCATATGTATACAGACATACATGTTCGTTGTATAATGTGCATATTATTTTCTCTAACAAAAATCTAAAAAGCAAGTATAACTTCAGACAAAAACCCTTCAAATTATTTCTTAGATGAGCTATATAGGTCTTGACACAACTGGTTTGAAAATATACTTAGAGACTCTCATGTACTCTCTAGAAGAGGAAACCCAATATAGACTGTGCCAAGTGTGTCCCAGGTTCCACTCAGGGAGTTTTCCAAAGGGCCTACCATAACCCGTCACCCATCACACGTTAGACTCATGGCCTTTCAAGCTGGAAGGGCCCATTGAGATCATCTTGTCTAATGCTTTCATTTCACAGATGGAAACAAAGGTCTAGAAGTGTCTGTGGCAGAGCTATAATCAGAGCTCTGGTCTCTAAATCTGGTCTTGATCTTCTGAACGGCATACACTGCTTCTTCAGCCACTTTTGAATGGCCTAAATAGCAACAGAGGTGGATGTGACATTTGATGAAAACAAAATATGTGGATTTGCAAGTACATCGCCTAAAGTTTCCTTATTACCCCTGGGGCCTTATGCCTGTAAATCCAGAAGCTTCCAGTGGGATGGCAGTATGTTTGCTATAAAATATAATGTACATGGTTTAGCCATCCTTGGTTTTGAGAAACTCACAGTCTTGCTTCTTCCCTAAAAATAACTCTGAGAGGTATATGAATACTCCCATTCTCACCCCCACCACCCAAAGGAAGCTAGATACTGAGACTAATGACAGTCAAGGAAGCAAGGTAGAGTGGAATAAGTACACTGGGGAATGAGGGTCAGGAATTCTGGAATCTCCACCAGACTCCATACAAATGTGTTCTGACCCTGACAGGCTGTGTCATCAATTTGCATCTGCTGCCCCTCACCTGAGAAATGAGGGTTTGCAACTGGATAACCTCTAAGCTCCCTTTCACATCTAAAATTTTGGATCCAGACTATAGTGAGGTTTAAATGAAATCAATGACTAGTTGACCAAACTCTGCCTGATATCAACTGTAGCTGAAACAAATATTGGCTTTTATCTTTCGGTAGCTTCTGGGTGTTGAAAACCCTGTGCTTCTACTTAGAACAGTAATTCTCAAAGTGTGGTCCCCAGACCAGCATCATCAGCATCACCTGGGAACTCACTGAACTGCAAATTCTTGGGCCTCACTCCAAATCTACCAAATTATAATTTCTAGAGGTGGGCCCCTAGAAATCTTTGTTCTAACATACTTTCCAAGTGATTCTGCTGCAGAACCACTGGCTCAGTATAACCTCTTCTAGTTGCTTAGAACTCTTCATTTTGAAGCTCAGCTTCCTTTAAGGAGGGATCAGCATTAGTAATACCACCAGATTGGCTACTGAATGAGGCATTCTAGTGTATTTGTTTGGGTCAAGGACTTCAGAACTGGATTTCCTAGATTTGAATCCTAGCTCTAAAATGTATTAGCTATGTGACCTTAGGCAAATGCTATAACTCCCCTGCACCTCACTTTGCTCATCTGTATAATGGGGATAATTAGTGGTACCTACCTTAGAGGGTTGTGTGAAGACTGAATGGGTTAATATAGTTTGAGTGGTTAGAATAGTACCTGACACTCGGCAGGGCCCTATAAGTATTAACTATTATTACCCAGGTCTGGAGCTTTTCCCTTTCTCTTTATTAGACACTCTTCCAAACTATTGCCCAATTAATCTGGAGCACTTATCACATACCAGGTACTATGACCTGTAACTCCCACCTGACTGGTAAGAAAATATGTCTGTTATATACCAGATCATGATGCCACTGCTACGTTGGTCTCTCTCTCTTTCTAAAGAACAGTGAATTCTTTAGCACACCCTGAGTAGTTTGCTTCTAGTAAGAAGCAATTAGAAAAAATGCTCTGCCCAACATAAAGAAATGGCAGGAGAACAGTGTCACTAATTTTGAGAGGACCAGGGATATAGGTCTCTTTGGTCCCTCTTTGCTTTAGGCCATAAATATACTTAAGTCTCTACCAAACGAACAGTTTTTCTTCAACCTATCTACCCCCCAAAACCACCATCCTCGCTCTTTTTCTATTCCATAAAACTTAAGAGGCTCTCTCTACTTCTTGTTCACACTTCAGCCCACGATAACCTGGCTTCTATGACCACTGGTCTTTTGAAACTGCTGTAGCAAAGGTCAGCAGCAATTTCCTAACTGCTCATGCCTTTTCCACTTCCTCTTCCTGAGGCATCTGTGCTATAGAACATTCCCTCCTCCTTTGTCTTCCATGGCACAATCTTCTCTTGGTTCTTTCCTTGGCCTACTTCTGAAAGCAAGTTCATAGCTACACATTACTTCCTTTTCTCTCCTCAAATACATACCTTCTCTAGGATAATATTTGTTGCAGTCATTTTTGAGTTATCTCAGACTCTTCCTTCTTCCTTCCTTTGGTCTCACATAAATGGTATCCATTTTCTTTTCATATATAAAGCCTGCTAGCCCATACATACCTGGTTTTAAACAGATGCCCCACTTTTGATCATATTCATAATTTAAGGTGGTTGCACACCATGGCCCACCATAATTTTTATCAAAAATGCACTCATGATGCCAGGTCCCATTAACTAAGAATGGAAATTCACAAGGTCTTCCATAGGAGTTCCCATCTCTGGTATATATCTCTGTGGTATGGGGAGGAAGTAGAGGAAAGGAAAGTTAAAAACTGGACAGTCACCTTCAGTTAACTGATTCCTAAATTTTCTGTGAGAGAAAGATTGCTGTTTTCACTTAAGAGAATACAGTATCTAAGTAGGCCACACAGTGTGAAAATTCAGAGCATGGATGCAGCATTCAGCTCTGAACTTGAATGCTGGCTCAACTGTGGGGCTGTGGGCAAGCTCTTCAACTTTTATTAGCCTCAGTTTCTATATTTGTTACTTAGGAATAATCGTATATAGCTTATAGGTTTGTTCAAGAGGATTCAATGAGATAATCCATGTAAAGCTTCATTTATTGTGGTGTGATGAAGAGCTAAACGATCCTGGCTTGATTCAGCAGGGATCAACTGATTACCATGGGTGGCAGAGAACTTCACCAGAAGGAGTGCCCTGCATGAGACTAAATTTACATTCTATTTCATTTTCTTTAGTAAGACTGGGGCCAGAAAAATCCCCTGGAATCACTGAGGGTGGGTATGGACTTTGGAACCAACTGTAGTTAGACAGATGGACACATAGCCCCATTGTTCACTGATTGGTGGTAGAATTGAGGTTGTGTGTCTCAAGAAGCAGGGGAAAGAAGAGCTGGATCTCTGAGAAGGTTCTTGGAGAGGAGCAGGGCATGGTAATTCATGTTATAAAAGAACCAGCTTTAGCTGGGCAGTCATGGGACTAGCTGGTGGCCAGCGATGTAGCAGAACTAGTTTTTCATTTTAAAATAATTTCCCCTGGTACGTGGAGAGGAACTGAAAAAATTATTCCGACCTCAAAGTATGCTTAGAAATACTAAAGGAAGTGCTCAATACTTTTGTGGATAACAGTTCTCTTGGAAAGGTGTTTTATTAGGACAGCTAACTGTGTAATTATTTTGGTTACCTTTATCCATATCCTTAATTTGTTTAAAACCAAGGTCATTATCAGATCAAATGATGCCTATTGGGTAAAGCATAATAGTCAGATCTCATCACCCTTTATCAGGCTATTAGGGTCCATTAAAATGTCTCACAGATATGCTTAAAAGTGTGCCTAAGAAATAAGTCAATCAGAGAAAGACATATAGCATATGATCTCACTGATATGAGGAATTCTTAATCTCAGGAAACAAGCTGAGGGTTGCTGGAGTGGTGGGGGGTGGGAGGGATGGGGTGGCTGGGTGATGGACACTGGGGAGGGTACGTGCTATGGTGAGCGCTGTGAATTGTGTAACACTGTTGAATCACAGACCTGTATCTCTGAAACAAATAATACATTATATGTTAAAAAAAGAAGAAGACAGTAGGAAGGGAAAAATGAAGGGGGGAGATCGGAGGGGGAGACGAACCATGAGAGACTATGGACTCTTTCTCTCAACCCAGTTGAGGGTTCTAGAGGGGAGGGGGTGGGGGGATGGGTTAGCCTGGTGATGGGCATTAAGGAGGGCACGTATTGAATGGAGCACTGGGTGTTATACGCAAACAATGAATCATGGAACACTACATCAAAAACTAATGATGTAATGTATGGTTATTAACATGATAAAATAAAAAAATAAAATAAAATACAAAAAAAGTGCGCTTAAGATGGTATTTGATTCCACATTCTTTATCATTTTCAAATGTTTATTTAACTGAAGTATGAGACTTAATTTAACATTTTAGAATATATTAAGCAGCAGTACAGCAAAAAGTAAGAATAATCTAGATGCTTTTATTTGCAAACAATCTTTTAAAGAATATTGGTTTTGTTTTCCTCTGACATAAATGATTTTGGACAGGATACTTCTGTTAAAGAGTAATTTGACCTTATATTTTATAGGGAATCTGCTTATTACCTATGTTTCACTATTTATTTATTTATTTGTCAGAGAGAGAGAGAGAGAGCACAAGCAGGGGGAGCGGCAGGCAGAGCAGGCAGAGGGAGAAGCAGGCTTCCCGCTGAGCAAGGAGTCCAACGAAGGATTCGATCCCAGGACCCCGGGATCATGACCTGAGCCGAAGGCAGCCGCTTAACCAACTGAGCCACCCAGGCGTCCCCCTATGTTTCATTTTTAATGATACCAAAGTTCCCAAAAGCTCATGGCCACTTCTCTTCCCATATTACATCAATTAAAAGGAGTCCCTGAGCCCAGCAACTATTACTTGAAGAACCATCACTTTCTTCCTAAAAAATCTTGTGTTTCTGTTATACAAAGTGCTTTCACATACATTTCTTTTACTTCCTCTTTACTGTAAACCTGTGAGATTAATAGGGCAAGTATTATACTTTTTTGTGAAATCCCCATTTTTGCAGTGTGGTTAAGTAAGACATTCAGTAAACTGTAAGTGACAGGCATGAGAACTGGCTCTCTAATTAGAGTCCTTGACATGTTAAGGACACCTTGTGACTTTAATGGCTGCCTTCTCAGGTTTCAAGTTATGTTTCATAGCTCAAAGCTGGGTTTCAATTAAAAATCTCTCCTATTCACAACATCCTTTGAAGAATGATAAGCATATAACAACCACGACATCAGTAGCAGCTAAATTATGCTAACTATTCAGGAAGAGTTTTATTCTCACACATTCTTCACTGCTACTGGACCTCTTAAATCCCATGTGTTTCTCTAGGGAGACAGGCTTTTCCTGAGAAGAATCTTCTGTGTGAATTTATGATGATAGCACTCTTAAAACAACAGCATATCCTGCAATAGGTACAAATTTGTGAGTTGAATCACTTACATGGAAAACTAACAATTTCTTCATTGAGGCAAAATAGCTTTAGTGGTCAAAGAGGTTGGCAGGCTCCTAAGAGTTGTTCAAAATGTAGACAGTTCAGTCATTTTCCTCTGGATTTGCCAAATATTCAAAATTTGAAGAGTGTGAGTGAGCTCAAGATATCTTAATGATTGATATAAATGCATATCTGGATGCTAGTCAAAAGCAATTCATTCATAACATTTATACAACTAAAGTTTTCTCTCAGATGAACATGACTCACACAGGGTGGGGGTTGGAGAGAAAGGCAACCCAGGACACAATGACAAATAATTTTTCTTATATTAGACGTAAAAAAATTTATAAAAAATATTTATAGAGCAAAAACCAAGGGAGAAATAAAAAAAGCTATATTTGGGGAATTCAATCATGGTTTTGAATGGTAGCCTTGCTCTAACAAGCTGGATAACCTTGGACTTCACTCTTTTGGGACTCAGGTATCTTATCTTTCTTATCTCTATAAAGCTGGACAAAAGGTGGGGCAGAAACTAATATGGGGAGTCTGACATAGCAGTCCCTGATAAAGTCCTTAACTTCAGACAGTAGTCTCTAATCTGAGAAGAGGAAGGGACTACATAAATTTAAAAGAGTAAAACTTCCAAGACTTAATATGTGATTAAATTTAAATGGTGAGAGAGGAAAGCAGGACACTCTACAGTGACTTGTAGATTTCCAACATACACGACTTAGATGGTACCAATCACCTGGAAAGGAATGGAGGAGGCAGGTTTGACCCTGGCTTCTGTGCAAATTAAAACTGGAGGTATGTGGCGATGAGTCAGAGCTATGTGAGCCTTTTCTCAGAAATCTCTAAATTTCTTATTTGAAAATTCAGTGTTCCAAATATTGTCTCTGGTAAGGTCAGGAAATACTTTATGCCTGTGGGCTCTTGCTGGAGGCACTGTTTAAGTTCTCTCTGAGGTGGTACCCTAGGTGGGTTCTTAAACTTTTTTGTGCTACTGATCATTTGGGCAGCTGTGTGAAATGAGCAGGTCCCCTTCTCAGGAGAAAATTACAAATGCATAAAATAAAAACCATAGGATTACAAAGAAAACCAGTTAGACTGAAATTTGGGGGACTGAAGGAATTTACAATTACAACTATATCCCTCAAAAGAACTTGGGGCAGGAGACAGAGAGAGCCCTGCCAAGAAAATTCTCTCTTAGCTGCCAAGTTAGAGAAAGATTTTCAAAAGGCAAAATTTAAACTTGCCATTAAGTGGTATTCAGAAAGCAACTGCTTCTTTTTTTTTTCTTTTTAGGTTTTATTTAAATTCAAGTTAGTTAACATATAGTGTATCATTAGTTTCAGAGGTAGAATTTAGTTTCATCACTTGCCTTTAACACCCAGTGCTCTCATTACAGCAAATACCCTCTTTAATGCCCATCACCCATTTACCCCATCCCCCTAACCACCTTCCCTCCAGCAACCCTCAGTTTTTTCCCTATAGTTAAGAATCTCTTATGGTTTGCCTCCCACTCCATTTTTATCTTATTTTTCCTTCCCTTCCCCTATGTTCATCTGTTCTGTTTCTTAAATTCCACGTATGAGTGAAATCATATGGTAATCTTTCTCTGACTGACTTATTTCGTTTAGCATAATACATTCTAGTTCCATCCATGTCATTGCAAATGGCAAGATTTCATTCTTTTTGATGGCTGCGTAATATTCCATTGTATATATGGGAAGAAGCTGGCTAGCAAAAACACTTGTTCAACTACTCATGGATTGAGGATTAAAGAAAAGGAAATCCCCATCTCTAATTCTCTAATCCAATATTTTCCCATAAGAGCAGAACCTCACATCTTAGAAATGGATGCATCTTCAATAGGAAATAGAAATAGTTATTATAGGAGAGAAATTTGTGCAGATAACTAAAAGACTAAGGGGCCAAATTTAACTTAAATGAGCTTTGAGAGAAAAGAAAAATCTCTGTAAAGCTAAGTAAATTTACAAAGAAGAGCAAAGGTGAGATAATAGTTAAGACTTAGAGATGATTAAATATATATTTATATATCAACATTTGATGTAATTTAGAGCAACATGATAAAAAAGATTTGCTTGGGTGATAACTTATTACATCTACTCATTCTTTTTTTTTTTTTTTTCAAGTAGGCTCCCTGCCCAGCATGGAGCCCAACTTGTGGAGCCCAATGTGGGGCTTGAACTCATGACCCTGAGATCAAGACCTGAGATGAGATCAAGAGTTGGACACTTAACCAACTGAGCCACCCAGGTGCCCTAACTGACTCATTCTTTTTAAACTTGGAAATTTGTTATAATCTAGTTTCTAGATCCAGAGCAAAGTTCACGATCAGCTCGCTCATAGGCAATATTCATATATAGTTGACACTCAAATAACATGGGTTTGAACTGCAAGGGTCCACTTATATGTGGGTTTTTTCGATAAATACAGTACAGTACTGTAAATGTATTTTCTATTCCTCATAATATTTTTTTGAGAGAGAGAGGGAGAGAGCACACACATGCACACACTTGAGTGGGGGAGGGACTGAGGGAGAGGGAGAGAGAGAATCTTAAGCAACTTCCATGCTCAAAGCAGAGCCTGACCTAGGCCTCCGTCTCACTACCAAGAGATCATGACCTGAGCTGAAACCGAGAGTTGGACACTTAACCAACTGAGCCACCCAGGCGCCCCTCCTTATGATTTTCTTAATAGCATTTTCTTTTCTCTAGCTTACCTTATTGTAAGACTACAGTATGTAATATATATAGCATACAAAATACATGTTAACCAACTGTTTACGTTGTCAGTAAGGCTTCCAGTTAACAGTAGGCTATTAGTAGTTAAGTTTTGGGTGAGTCAAATTTTTAACTGCATGGGGGGCAGTTCCCCTAACCTTCACATTGTTCAAGGGTCAACTGTACTTATTTTTGAAAGCAATTGAGGAAAAAGTCCACTCTTAAAATCATAAACACAAACATCAAAGTGTGACAGCCATGCCAAAAATAAAAATAAACTCACACAGGTCTTAAAGTTTTTCCATTACATAAAAATCTGTAGACAAGGAGAAATATATTTCCTTTATTTTTTGTTTTTCTTTTTTCTTCTTTTTAAACTTAGAATAGGTTTGATTTTATTAGGTCATTTGAATTTCATCCTGTTTGAAGGATTTCCTGTTACTCTAATGTTTCTTTTCCTCTGGAGTTCAGAATGTAATCATAGGAAATACATATGCTCATGTATCATAGAGAGTCCAAATCCCTGGTTTACTACAGAGTGACTGTGTGACCTCTGACAAGGCACCCAACCCCTTCTAGCCTTACCTGTAAAAGGGGAAAAGTAGCACCAATTTCACATAGGTAGCTCAATGATAATGCACAGTGCCTGGAATTGAATGCTAGCTCACTGCCCTTACCAATGCATGACTTTATTTGTGGTCAGTTGTGCATGTTCAATGTCACATTTACCAAACACAACGGCAAATGACTCAAAGTCCCTCTCCAATACTCACCACGATAAGGCTGGTCACAGAGGTTTTCCTCTGTGCCTCCTTTCTTCCAGATATCAGATGAATTTGTACTTGCTACAGCATGTCCATTCTTCAGAGCCAGTCTGTACTGGGCAGCTCCATACAGAGAGTGGTGCTCACATTTCCACCAGAGTAAGGCACTGGAGTCACAGTTGAACATTCTCAAGGAATCTGTGGGTTTGGTAATATCTAGCCCAAGGCACTTCTGGGATTGCAAATGAAAGAGTCGATGCTGGGACACCCACTTCCATACCATGTCCCTACTTCCATCACAGTCTGTTGCTACTATCCAGTCATTCAGTGGCTTGATGCACTTGCCCATGTTTTCATTGACGATGGTGAATGGATCATTGCCTGAGTCAAGACAGACAGTCAAGGAAGACATTTCAGAATTCTGAACTCTGTGGTCAGCGTGCCTTGGTCCCTGCTTGCTGAGGAGAGTCTGAGCACCCAGACTATTCCCACCCTCCAACCTCTATAAACTGCAATGCACTACACAAGGTCAGAGGACAGTGGTAGCCAGAGAGGCAGTATAGTGTGTGTTAAGAGCATGAGCCAGTCTGCCAGGGTTCATAGTCTGCCTCTGCTACTTATTACCCATGTGATCAGGGCAAGTTAATTAACCACTATGCCTCAGTTTCCTCCTTTGTAAAATAGTACTTCATATGGAAGGTGTTAGGTTAAAATGAGCTCATACCTATAAAGCACTTAGAAGAGTATGTATATTTGTTATTGTTATTCCATGAAATATCCCCCCCCCCTTTTTTTAATGAGATGAAGAAGCTCCTTAGTTTTCATCTTCCTTAGACAGGTGGTCAATGAAAAATATCCTGAACCTATTCAGGACCACAGTTCTGTCTTGCTTATACTTTACCTACTATGGCAGGGTAAATTATTACATGGCATTACCGTGTCTCAGAGGAGATGGGAAGACTTCTGGGGGGCAGAAGTAGAATAGTGGGGTAAAGGGATGAGAGGAAATGAAGGTCTGGATTCTGAGGATAGGAGAGACCTGTGGTCTGCCCTATCATAGCACCTTCAGGAACGTTATGGGAAGCCTGTGGGGAGGGGTCGGGGGTGCTGCTGACTGAGTGGATCACCTAGGGAGGTTGAACCTGAGCTCCAGAAATCACCTGAGATACAGAATTCAACACCCAGTAGATTTGGACAGTGGGAAACCCAGAAGCAACGAGTGTAAGCTGAAGGCTAAAGGAGGGACCTCCCTGAATATTTCCCTGCAGTTTCTCATGAATTAGGGAGACCTCAGTGATGACAGAAACTGAAGTTCTGTTAACTTGGTGGAATGGGACTTCAGAATAAAATTTATTTTGATTTTATAAAAATAAAGTAATGCATTGTTTCTTGCACACCTGGGCTTGTGGAACAGGATTCACATCTGTCACAACAAACTACAATCGAACAATTTGGCCAGTGCTTTTACAAAGAAAAATTTTTTGAAGTTATAGCACAAAAGTTCATGTTGATGAGAGTAAAACTGAAATATTTTACACAAATTTAAAGAATCAGTGTCAAAAAACCAAAGGATTCAGCAGAAGGACCTGTAAAACTTTAGTTCCCAAAAGGAACTTTCATTTTGATGCCAGCTTCACAATTACTGATCTTACCAGTGCTAAATACCTTTTCTAATAATAATTCACAGGATTTCAGAGTTAAAAATTCTCATATCAAGGACTTGAGGGGAAATTTCATCATATAATCAATAATAACTATAAAATCAAGTCACGTTTCAGCTTGAACTTTAAAGAGAATTTTTTGTTTTAAGCAGCAGCAGTAGCAAGAAGAGAAACAATAGGAACCACCACAAAATCCTGTAAAACATTAAGCTACTTTTGCTTTCAAATCTGTATTTTAAAATATGACACAGGACTGCAGTTAGGTGTCTTTGTCATAGCAGCTTCCATCCCTCACTCTTCCTGCTTTGACATCTCTCTGCCATTCTCTACTTTATGGACACCATTTGGGAGGACAGTTAACATAAAAAGGAAAACATACTATCTTAGATGATCGCTCACAGTTTCTCCAATGTCCTCCTACATATTCAATATCTACTCAGACCCATGAGGGTCTTTCAAACTATTCTCTCTTTCCCAAACTATTCTCTCTCACTTCTCCAAAAAAAAATCTTGCACTCCAAAGTATCAGCAATTACTGCAGAAAAAAAGAAGTCTGCTTCTGCAGGAGAATAGGCATCCACCACCCTTGCTGGAACCCTCCCCTCCCTTGCCCTGTGGTCCCATTGCTCTCTTTCCTGGACACTTTGCTCTGTGCCCCAACCCAGATAGGTGAACTGGGCTAGCAGTGGCTTTGTTACATTTGCAGTTTGGAGTTCTAGAGTTCTCAAGTTGTCTTTGCAGAATCCAATAGATTACCACAGCTGTTAGTATAGTGGAACAAGCAGTGGGATAAGGAGTTAGAGGTCCTAGATTGAAGACCTACCTCAGCTACCAGTTAGCTGGGAGACCTTGCGGAAGTCGCTTAATCTCCCCAGGGTCTTTGTATCTCCAAATGTAAGATGAAAGCAGAGACAATATAAGATATCTAAGCCACTTTCAGTACTAACATCCTATGTTTCCACAAGATAACAGTTTTCCTAGCCTTGTAGGTTTTACCAGTCTTTGCTAAGTTCATTGTGTATTATTCTTGAACAGATGTCCACAACTTTATTATGCCCTGCTACTGCTAGTAGCATTTTAGGTCATTCTAACCCTATTAGTATCAGGCATGGGCACTTAGGTAACAGTGATGCTTTATAAATACTCTTTGGAAGAGAAAAAAAATTGCCCTTTCCCATTTACTCTATGTGTTACTTCTAGGACACCCACAGACTTAACAAGCTTGTAGAAACTCCGAAAGACTACAGGAGAGATGTGGAGTAGCATGGAGAAAGTATGTTAAAGAAGAGTTGCCAAACTTACCTAATTGCAACATCTATGGTCATAAATACTTGCCTTCTTCTAAATCTGTCTTTTAACCAAGTATGTATAATCAATGTTTGACATCTATAGTGGTCACTTAGCACAAACATTAATTACTGATATGATTTAAGAAAACTTGCCATTAGCCTTCATACATAATGCATGTGTAAGTATTCATACGTAATGTATAAGGAGCGTCTTGTCTTCTCATGATGTTTCCCCATATTTTCCGTATCCTTAGCAGAAGCTGTTCAGTCTGCCTCAGTCTTGTGACCCTATTGGGATGGTAGACTGAAGAGTGGGAAGGACTGAAAATAATTCTTTTTTAAGGAAAATTTGTTAAATAAGGGTATATAAAATATTTCAGAAATGTATTACACTTTGAAAAGGTAATTACAGAGCAACTTATATAAAACAGATTTTTTATTGACAACCTTATGCTGTATCTTGCTCATGTTACCTTACATTGGTCCTAAATGGAATTTTAATGTTTACTTCCACACAAAATATTTGGGCAAATCTAAAAGGCAGAGGTTGATGAAAAGAAGCCTCATCATCCCTAGTAGCAATTTTTATATGCTTCATTTTATATAAACATTCTAGTGGTGCCTGAGAGGAAATAACTAAGTAGCATTATCATATATTGAAAATGAATTTTTAGCATGCCACATTCATCAAAGGAAAACCATCTCCTGTTGCCTAATCATTAGGTAACCTTTGTCTTACCTAAACCAGAGAGCTTTGCACATTCCAAAGAGAAGCTGGACATCAACATTTTATGATCACAGACAAATGGAGGGGGAGATAGAGGCAGAAGGATGAAGACTGCAGCATTTTTAGTTTCAGGGGAACTTCTACAGCTCACAATGTTAAGCATTTTGTGGTCACCACCACGTGTGCAGAGTGTACAGGTGGAGTAGGAAAGAATCAGAAGTCTGGGTTTGCCAGTTCAAAAATAGGTCCTGAAGTGACCTTGGGTCCATGACAGTCTGCTAGGAGTCAGAAAGCTTTCGGGTTCAGATTGGGTGATATGGGCTGGTGAGAACCTCAGGAGTCTCAGAAGGATTGATTTATTTCAAGCTCTTAGCTCTCCAAGGAGGCAAAAAAAGTAAATAAGCAATTGGCATTTCCCCAAGGACACAGAGGACCTCCTTCAGCACCTGAGCAACCCAGACCATCTGCACAAACCTAGCTGCATACATGTGACAGAGTGCATGCCATTACCAGCATTGTGAAGCTGACACACTGCCAAACAAGTTACTCAAATGGCTGGGGTTTCAAAATTCCAGGGCTTCCCTTTATGGGACCACAAGTCTGGTCTGAGGGTGTGTGTAAGCTGGCCAGAACAGCTGCTAAGGATGAGGAAGGATGCAGGAAAACAAATACCTATGAGGATCTAGTGCAGGGAAAATGGAGTTAAGCTGGTGTTCTTTGGTTTCGGTTGATGAGAAAGGCCAGGGATTGTAGAGAATGCAAAAATTAAGAAGGTCTGGAATTGGGGGGGGGGGGGGGACAAAACAGTAGGACTAAAGCAGAAGTAGATGGAAAACAAGAGTTCAGTGATTGAAAGGTTAGTGTGTTTTGACTGTAGTTAGTTATGGCAATGAAATTTCTCTCCCTGGATCGTGGGGCAGGTGGAATAGAATTCTCACAGCCAGTAAAGGACTTTTGGGAGTTTCCACGAGGGAGGGTCAAAGAAGAATGGAGAAGGGTGAATCAGATCAGTATTCACTAAAAGGTCCTTGATGTAGATAGGGTGATGTTATTCACACTCTGGGAAGCTTCTTCCCATCACTCTCTGAAAAAACTCTATATCTGGCAGTAACTTAGTTTAGGGGCCACAAGAAAAGAAGAGCCACAAGGGGGAACCTACAGTTTTCAAAAAACTTCCTTGCCCATCTTTTACTTCCTCATACAGGCAAGTTAACAGAAGTGGTAGGTGGTGATGGCTCACTGACTGCCCACTATGCAGCACAACTAAGAAAGTCCTCAGGGAACCTTTTGCCAAGGCAAAAAGAAAGTAAAAGCAAACTCCGGCTGCTACCAGGGGGTATGGTGAGCCTGGCACTACCCACAGCATCACCATCGAAGGGAGTCTATTCCTGGTCCTGCTTCCGCAGTTAGAGGCAGGAAGGAGGTCCCTGGGCAAGCGACCAGAGCTCCAACGTGGGGCCCTCGGCCTCGAGGGAGTGTTTTGGAGCTGATAAATCCATTCATTAGAAGAAAGTATCGCTGCTCAAGGCTTTCGGGGAGGGCATCAAAACGGAATTACGAACATGGTCACTTTAGGAGACATAGCTTAACCGGACTTCCTTTTTGACTTGCACCTTTGGCTATCGTGCAAGCGAAGTCGGGCAATCATTAATCATCCTTGGCGCTGTGGGTAGACAGTTCCTCTAGACACTGAGTGGCCAAGGTGACCAAGAGGCGAAGGAGGGGCGAGATGGGCTGGATGGAGTTTGGGGAGTGCTGAGGAGCCTTTTACTCCGGGGAAGCAAGCAAGAGAAAGGCCCTGCTCCTCCTGCTCCTGCCCCACCCCGCCCTCCACCCCGCGCCCGAAGGCCATGGAGTGCCTTCTACTCAGAACTCCCCTTCGGCTGGCTCACTTCTTGGGTTCCGGACCCCCGAGGCAAGCAGAGTTGACGAGACCCGGAGCACAGCCCTAACCCGAACCGAGGAAAGTCGGCAGACCTGACAACGTCGAGGGCCCCAGCAGCTGGCGGGCTGGCGCGCCAGCGGTTACCTGTGCGGCCAGAGGGCTCCGCCAGACCGAAGCACCTGAGGAGTAGCACGAGGAGCTCCGCCGCGCGGCGAAGGGTCGCCCAGCGAGTCCCCATCCTGAGCCGGCCCAAGCCGTCCAACCGGGTCCTCAGGCGCACGCGGCACCCACCCGTCCTGAGGCGCCCAGCCTGCGCTTTTGCCGCCGGCCTCCCCGGGGGGTCCGGCCACGCCCCCCTCCGCCCTCGGCCAATCAGGCGAGGTGGGGCGGAGCAAGGGTGTGGAATTGGTGGCAGGAAGACTGCGAGCTGAGCGTTAGGCTCACCTTCTAAAGGACTGACCCTCCGGGAGGCGGGAAGTGCGCGTGGAGCGAGAGAGCAGTGTCGCGCACACTACCAGGCTTGGGGGTCCTGGCTCCCACCTTTTCTTCAGTAAAGTTGAGGAGACGCGGCTCTTGCTGGGACTTGGCAACACCCTGGTGGGTGGGTTGGGTCTGTTTAGGACCTTGTTCTGTGTAGCGCACCTCAGTGTGGGAGGACTTCATGGCCCGGCTGGGCTGGAAAGGCACCCACATCCTCTCGGACCCCAAAGGCGGAAGTCTGCACCCGTAGGGTTGCTGCTGCGGTCAAGCCAAAGAATTCAGGTGGCCTTGGTTGCGTCTTGTGTATTTGGATAGTGCAAACAAAGGCACGCTGCAGTTTCACCCACAATTGTTAAAGAATTAAAAACAAGAGTTATTTGAGTGACCCTAAAATCAATACTTCCAACGATTTAGGCCTTATAACCATCTGACTTTGCACGTAAGCCTTTTCTTAATAATTAAATCATCATCATCATCATCATCATCATCATCCAGTAGAAATGTGGAAGTCTGCATCCCAAACCAGCAATGTGAGAGTAATATTTATCCTCTCCCTGTGGGATCTGTAGTCATTCTAAATAGGCTGACCTAAGTTGCCTGGGTGTGAATGTCCTGTAATTTCAAACCTCATAAAAGCACATGGTGTGTACCCAGAATCACCTGCATTGCTGTCCCCCAAGAGTGAATTCTTCCATGAGAAGAGGAACATCTTGGTTGCCTTTCCTTTTTTTTTTTTCAAAGATTTTATTTATTTGACAGAGAGACACAGCGAGAGAGGGAACACAAGCAGGGGGAGTGGGAGAGGGAGAAGCAGGCTCCCTGCTGAGCAGGAGCCCGATGCGGGCCTCAATCCCAGGACCCTGGGATCATGACCTGAGCTGAAGGCAGATGCTTAACGACTGAGCCACCCAGGCGCCCCTAGGTTGCCTTTCTTGATTCCAACTGCCAAGGCTTCACTGATGGCTCCCAAATCTACCTTGGGTCTGTTCTCTCCCTACCTGGGCCTTTTAGTTCAGTAGATATGTTAAGCACTTGCCATTATGAGGTTGGGCACCTCCCAGGATAAGATAAAAAGACAACATCCCTGCCTGCTCAAGTTTACTGAGTACTAGGTGAGACTGAGGCACACACAGCTTAACTCAGGGCAGAATGAATGGGGAGACTAGACAAAGCTTCAAGGAAGACAACACCTAAACTGGGCCTTGGGTAGTAGGTAGGAATTTGACCATGTACAGCTGCTTGGAGAAAAATAGTGACAGAATGGCAGGAAAATGCAAAGCTATGTCAGAAGAGGTCAGTCCAGTATGGCCATCCTGCAGGGTGCATGTGTGTGCATGTGTGTGCATGTGTGTGTGTTGAAGGTAGTTGTGGTGGAGGACTTAGTGAAGATGACAACAGAGAGGTGTGTTGTGGCTGTGTTGTGAAGAGCCTTGAATATGATGTCAAAGACATTGATTTGATTCTCTAGAACTTGTCTCTAGAAAGTTCTGAGTAAGACAATCTGCTACTGCTCTGATTCCCTTTGCATTTGTGGCTGCTTGCCTTTCTGATCCTGCCTAGCTTGGAGCTAGTTGAGGGCAGGGGTCTTACCTTCTCATTATTACCGTCCTACACTGAGCACTAGGCCTGACCCAGAATAAGCTCTCAATAAATATGAGTTTACTTAATTAATAACTTCCTAGAGCCACGACCTTAGCTTAAGGCCACAAAAGCTCCTGTTTGCATTATGTTGCAGTAATTTCTCAATTGACCTTCCTGCCAGCAATTTCCTTCTCAGGAAAAGGAATCTTTGTTTGGAATATGTCACCTTTCTTCTACTCACATCCTTTCAGTGCTAACAGGGAGTTCAGGAGGCTTGTGAATCCCTGAAATTATATACAGCTTTATGAATACACTTAAAAATTTTTTTTTTGAGAAAGAAAAGAGGTCCAGGGCTTTCATGAGAGTCTCAAAGAAGCCCATAATACAAAAAGAAATCTTATGTAGGATAAAGCAAGCTCCTCTACTATCTGAACTTTTAATTATCTTCCTATGTCACTCCTTGGTTCAAGCAACCTGTCTGATCTGTTTTGCCCTTTCCTATCTCTGCCCATATAGCCATATTTTCTCCAGTCTAGAATGCCTCTTTTCGCTCTCTCTTGTCTTAGTCCTACCCTTCCAGTTAAGGCTCTGCTCAAATTTCACATTTTATATAAAATGTCTCTAAGAAGAACCTTAACCCTTGGGGATTCCAAACATCTGGATATTGTTGCATTGTGTTCACTTGGCATTTAACACATATGCTTCCTGTTGCTTGAGTAGTTGCCTCTTATCTGCGGTTTTGTTTTCTGTGGTTTCAGTTACCCTCAGTCAACCACAGTGCAGATGTTCCTTCTTCTGATGTCTGATCAGAAGGTCAATAGTAGCCTAAAACTATGTCACTACATCATTCAGCTCATTTCATCTCATCATGTAGGCATCTTATAATCTCCCATTATTACTAGGAGGATGAGTATAGTACAATATCTTGAAAGAGAGAGAAAGAAGAGAGACCACATTCACATAACTTTTATTGCAGTATATGTTATAATTGTTCATTTTTTATTACTAGTTACTGTTGTTAATCTCTTAATCATACCTAATATATAAATTAAGTTTTATCATGGTTATGTATAGGAAAAACATAGTATTTATAGGAGTTGGTCCCATCCTTGGTTTCAGGCATCCGTTGGGGGTCTTAGAACATATTCCCCATGGATAAGGGGGGACTACTGTACTTTTTCTGTAGTTACATGTGCACTGATACTCCACCTAGGTTATATGTCTTAAATAAATATTTATTGCCTATGGCAATAATAGAAAGCAGTGTATCCTTCAAGTCTCACCCTGAATGTCACTTCTTCAAAGAAATCTTTCCTGACTGCAGTCTAGGTCAACTTCCTCTGTGATAGGTTCTCAATGCATCCCACACTTTGTTTTGATAGCACTTATCATAGCTGGATTGAACAATTATTCACTTGCTCATTTGCGGAATGTCTAGCTCCCTTTCCAGGCTGCAGGACCCACGAAGGCGGTGTCTGTTTAGGCACTTCTGTGTTTCCAGTACCTGGACCATGATTTGCTGGATGAATGAATGAATAAATACACAGTAAGTGCCTCATAAAGGATGAAGGAATAAATAAATCCATGGTAAATGCCTGGTGCAGACAACAGGAGATCTACACATTTAAAAAAAGGGAGAAATCAGCTGGGGTGGATGGGTGGGAGGGTCTTCAAGCACTAGATCGAATGTCCTTGGATGAGTAACAGTCAGTAGATAGAGGTGGTGGGGAGGACACCACACGGCTGAGGCCATGATGTGAGCAAAATAACAGTCGTCTGCCACCTGCCAGGTGCCGGGCCATGTGCTGAGCATTTCCTGTGTGCTCTTGCATCTGATAATTAGCCTATGAATGAAATATTATTATCCTTATTTTACAGATGTGGAAACTGAGACAACATAGACAAGATTGATATAACTAGGCCAAGGCTAATAGATAAGTGAGAATACCAAAATGGAAATCTAACTATAGAACTTGCATGAATGTGTGAGAGTATTTGTATTATTTTATTCCCCATCACAATTAGGAAGAGGGAACATGAGCTTTTAGATCTCTAAAGTGAAATTTTAAATTATAAAATGTGTCATACCTCAAAAAGAGTAGCTAGGCCGTGGGTCTCCTCCTGATCATGTCCACATTACTCTCACACAGAGGTAACCCCTCCTCCGAGTTATCATTCCTTTCTTTATAGTTTCCCCATATGTGATTCATTCCTTAAATAGTCTATATAACTTTGCAAGTCTTTGAATTTTATGTAAGTAGAATCATTTCCAGTTTTTTTGGGCACTTATCTTTTTTGCTCAAAATCATGCCTGTGTCATTTATCTGTGTTGGTGTGTGTAGCTGTAGTTTGTTCATTTTTATGCAATGTTCCATTGTAAGAATAAAGCATACTTTATCCATTCTCTTGCTGGTAGACATTTGAGTAGTTTCTAGCTGGGTAATTTGCTGTAGTTAGCAATGCTTCTGTGAACATTGTTGTACATGTCTCCTGGTGCACATGGCTAGATTTTCCTGAGAGTGTGTTCTTAGAAGTGGAATTCCTAGAGCACAGGGTATGTTCAGCATCAACATTATTAGACAACGCCAATGTGCTTTCTGGTTTGCACTCCTAGCGATATGTACAAACATTCCCACTGCTGAACATCCTCAATACTTGGCATCTTAACATTTTTGGTGGGGAGCAAAATGGCATCTCGTTGTAGTTAAAGGTTACATTTTTCTGATTGCTAATGCAATTGAACATATTTTCTTATGTTTATTGGTTATTTGTATTTCCTTTTCCAATTTGTATTCAGGTTATTTGCTAGTTTTCTCTTAGATCCACTTTCTGCCCTCCCCTGCTTTGAATCTCAAGGACCTACTCTGCATTCTCAGGCTCCCTTTCTCACTACCTTCTGGTTGGGTTCAGCCAATGAGAGTTACTGGCAGGAAATGGAAGTTTGGGAGGGGCAGAATCCAAGGTGTTTCCCTCCTCTATGCCTTGGGAGCATGCCAAGCAGGGGCTGTGTCTCTTCTGTGGTTCCACCTCCTACCTGGAAGCCTCACCTTTGTGGTCCAGTTCCTACCAGGCAACTGTGCTGTGCTTCCAGCATGTTTGGGTGTTTCCTTCTCCAAGGTTCTAGCTCCCACAGGGTAGCCCGGGCTCCTATTTGGATAACATTAGTCCTTCTCTGTTCCTCAGGTCCCAGGGGTAGTAGTAGCTTCTTGTAATTGGTACTTTCTAGATAACCTCACTGGCACTTATTTTTAAGTCTT